GGAGAAAATTTGTAACCCAAAGTTTTAAAAACACATGTTAAAAATAAAAAAATTTTAGAGAAAGATAAAAAAAAATAAAATAAAATGGAGTAGTAAATCTATCAGCTTGGGAAGATTAGCAGTAAGTAAGTAAAAGAAATAACCCCATGGTTAGCAGACCTGAAGGCAGGAGCTGTGGTAAGCACTTAAAGGTATGTATGGTATGGGAGAGGATCCACAGTGTTGGAAAAGGAACCTGGAGTGTTGAAGGGTGTAGGAAAGAAGAGAGGAGGAGTAGAGCCATCTACTGGAAGTGATAAAAGAGTACAGAGCCCATGCAGAAAGAAGGGTTGGGAGCCTCTCTTAGCTGGCCTCTCCCCTTCTAACTCCCCTCCAAGCTTTCCAGTCTCTCTACTTACCTGAGTTTTTCCAGAATCTGGAGATGTGCTGGTAGGGAAATCAATGTCTTGGAAAGAAGACCGAGTGATTCGGATTACAAGGTTTTGTGGGTCTAGTATGGGCAGGGTAGAAATAACTAAAGGGGCTGGTACTTGGAGTTAGCTGAAAGAAAAGAAGGAAGGGAGGGGCAAAGGAAGCTGGAGGTGGTGGCCAACCTCTCTCTGACTTGAGTTGACATAACTTAGAAAAAGTGAACTAAACTGGGGTAGTGGGGAGTGAAGGGGAACAGGGCAGGATGCCAAAATGCTGAATTTTTGTCAAATCAAGAATTTTTAAAATTCTGGTTCTGCGGTGATATTAGAACATTTGTGGTTAAGGCATCTCAGTTCCCTTGCACAACTACCACCCATCCTTACACTGCTCCTCCTCCCCCTAGTATGTTTTAGTTTAAAAATCTAGCTGGGCTTGGAGTCAGGGTCTGAGCCCATGTTCTTTCTCACTCCAACACTTACTCTGAGTGACCAGAAAGAAGCCGTTGAAACTTTTTGTGCCTTTTTAGCTGAAAAAATGGGTTCAGTATTGGTACCATCTACCTTACAATGTTTTGAGGACCATGCACAAGGTACTGGATAAGGATGAATAAAAATCAAGAATATACGATGTCAGCTTCTTAAGGGAAAGTGATGGTTTTTTTGCTTTTGTTTTTTGTTGGAGGGGGGGCGGGGAGGGGTGTTGGTCTCTTTGTATCCCCAGCTCCTGGCAGAATACCTGGCACTCAAAAAATGATGTCTATGAATTGAATTTTATCATTTAATCAAACTACACGACTTGATGTTCTTGAATGGGGAATGTAGGGGTTCAGAAATAGTGTAAGTCATTGGCCTGGCTGCTCTCAGGAAGCTTACTGTAGCAGGAGCAACAAAATAAATACACATGACAGTGTTTGTAGGATTCTTTTAAATTGCATGTTATAAACTGTAAGTGATGTCATAGAAATCAAGAAAAGAGAGATCTCTGAGGGTTGGAAAGGTCTGGGAAGATATATGTCATGGAGGAGATAGGACTTGTAGGATTCAGACACACTGAAAGGAAAAAGTGTCCAAGACCATGAAACAGCAGGAGTTAAAAAAACATGTGAGTGGCAACCAGCACGATATTCTTTTGCTTTTACTTCCATTTTATTTTCAGTTCTGAATTCTCTCTCTCTTACCTTCTCCCTCACCCATTGAGAAGTCAAGAAAAATAAAACCTATTACAGATATGGACAGTCAAGCAAAACAAATTCTCATTACTGGTGGCCGAAAAAGAAACTATAGCATGAAATTCTCATAGAATATTGTCTAGGTAGCTCAGCTTGACTAGACTTAGAAGATACATAGGGTATTGAACATAAGAGCTGGAAGGGAGATTAGAGCTCATCTGACCCCCTCGTTTTTTTCAGATGAAGAAACAGAAGTCTAAAGACAGGCAGTGCATTGTGCAAGATCATGGTGCGATCCAGATGTTAGAAAGTAGAAGAGAAATACTTTTGGAAAGCTGGACCTTGTAAACTGGTAGGCATTGAAGATGTTTGAGCAGGTGAATGATGAGATTTGTGTTTAAGAGCGTGTCCAATGTCCCCAAAGCCCTAGTCTGAGAGTTCAGCTATAAGTCTTTTTTGTAATGAATAAGGTGAGGCAATGAGTTTAAACTAGGGTGGTGGCAGTAGAAATGGAGAACAAGGGAGGATTGTGAAAAAGATTACTAAAGAAAAATGGAGGTTTATTTGGCAAGGACGTCCTGAGTCCTAGGATGCCGGATAAATTTGTCAAATATGACCCAAAGATTTCTGCCTGGGGGTAACTAGCTGAATGTTTGTGTCATGGCCAGAAGTTGGAGTGATTCTGCCTTGGTAGAAATGCAAGCTCCATGAAGGCATCTCTTGTAGCTGTATCCCCAGTATCTAGCATAATGCCTGGCACACTGTAGGTACTTAATAAATCTCAATGACTGAGTGCAGTATTTCTATGTGGAACACAGTTGAACAATCAGGAAGAAGTATGATCATTCTCCTGTGAGAATTAAAGGTTAATGATCAACACAGAGACATTACTGGTTGGTAGGAATCCACTGACCACTAAAAGCAGAAAACATCGACATACAGAGTCAAAGGTTAAGGTCTACATTTCTAGAAACCAGAACAGGAAAACATAGAAGAGAAGGCAGTCTTACTGCCATATTTGTGGCTTTATCTGCCACTGACAGTGAGTCATTCTTGCAAATAAATATTATTTACAAGTCTGTCTGCATAACATACTTTATGCAAATCTTATGTAAGCAGTATCTCAAGAAATAACAAGTTTAGGAAGCAAAACTGAGTCTCATTAAATTGGCAATTTTGTCACATCATTTTGTGTTATGTTAACTTTGCTAGAAGTCAATGTTACATTATTTGAATGCTATCCAATAATGTTTACTGGTCTTTTCCAGTGTTTGAATATTTGCTAATGGTTACGGTTCTTTTTGTAAAATAAATATTACTAACCAATATTTCTTATTTATTAAAAAAGTTTTAGATATCTATAATAATGAGTAGATTATGAAGAATGCTACAAGTATTTTAAGAAAGTTAAAAGAAATTAGTCAACTTGTTGACAGATGTTTGTCAGTAAACAACGTATTAGTTTGTAATAATAATAAACCATACATTTGTTTTATCTTTTTTATAGAAAACCTGAAACTTTTAGTATAACCCTCACAAAAAAATTACTGTTTATTATTATGATCACTCATTGATATTTAAAAACATGTAAATAAAATATTTTTTAAAAATACAGAATAACATGATTTTGTGAATTACAATTTCTCATTCCCAAATCCTGAAGATTAATATCCATCAGGAATTTGGAAACACTATTGAAAGTACACAAATAGATAAAAAGCATTTAGCTTAAGTGCTTATTGTGTGCTAAGCTCTGCCAGGTGCTGAGGATACAAATAGAAAACTGAGACAATCCCTGCTCTCCAGGAACTTCCATTCTGATAGGGGGAGACAACACATAAGAGTTCAGAGCCAGATCTTAGTTTAACATACCAGCCCTTCCCTTGCCTTCCCCTCCCTCCAGCTCTTATCTTCTCCCCTCAATTCTTCCAGGCAGCTGTGAGCTCTCCCTTTTGGTCACTGGCATCAAGTGAGTTAAACCAAAGCTGAGGTCAGTAAGGTAGGATCCTAAGAGCACTGAGTCCTCATGTCAGGTGCCTGTCGCTGTTCGCTCTGTTGTAGTATTTGTTCTCCTAGGATAATCTCCCACCTATAGACAGGGAAAGCCTGTGTCAGCTTTCCTTCCCTTCCTAATACTGTTTTGTCTCCTCCACACTAAATCCCACATAAAAGAAAACATACATTTGTTTTCTCTGTGACTCCATCCCAGGTTTCTTCCTTTTTTCCCTACCCCAAAGTAGCCCAGCATTTAACTTAGTCTCTTTATTGTAAGAACTAACATTAACAACTCTACAGCATTAGTATGATACAGCTGATTAAGTTTTGGAACTAAAATCTGAATCCAGCTCTTTTAACTCCCAATCTAGCCTTTTCCACTTGTCTAATAAAAATTATTAAAAATCCCCCCAAGCCTGCTGGAGGTGAAAAATAAAACTAGGTTCTTGGGAAGATTAGATCCTCGAAGGCAGAAAAAGATGGCGGCTTAAGTCTTCAGTTCATCCGTCCAGTGTGTCTGTGGAGATAAATGGGAGAGTCAGAGTTGGGCCTAGGACGAGAAAAGAAGAATTAGTCTGGACCACAAAACACACTTCCTACCTCTTCAAGGTCAGATTCTACCTCTTCCAGGTTTCTAGGATATGCCTGGTGTAGACGGATCAGGTCTCCCCACAACAAAGTATTCTTACAGCTACACAAAAAAAGTAGACCAAAAGGAGAGATTTAGTGGAGAAGGAACATAGACCATTCTTCTCCTCATCTCCAAGAGCTTCTAGCTTCCAACTCACCCTGGGCAGCAGCCCTTCAGGGGCAAAAGCTGTTGAGGTTCCTCTTGAAGGAATTCTTCAGCAAGGCAAATTAGGTGAGCATTCAATGGACAGCTGGGGTGAGGACAGCAAAGGGGTCCATCCTTATCCTGCCAGTTAGACAGGAGATATGGGGTTTAATTGAATTTAAGCAAAGAATATTTTACTGTTCTCACACTACTCTACAGCTTTCCCCCTGGTCATACCTTAGAGAAGACTGCTGTCTCACCTGGACTAGCTGCTGGCAGAGAGAGCAGAAGACCTCATCTGCTTCCTTGCCTACCTCTCTCCTTCCCCTCTGAGTGAGGCCAGGTTGCAAAGGCCCAAAAGCAAGAGGCATGTGCTGGGGAGGTGGAGGGCTGAGCTCCTGCTGGAAGTCCTGTCGTAGCCAACGCAAGGTGAGGGGCAACCGATTCCAAGGTGCCACCTGCAGCATCTGGGCCAGTATTCGCAGGTGGAAAAAAAAGGTTCCCTCCTTCCTGGCTTTGCCACTTATGTGAGCCAGACGACGGGAGGACCGAGGGTGCTGCCAGGCCCACTCAAACTGAAGGGGAGAGAGATGAAGGATAAGGTGTCGTGGGTACCGAAGCTTCGACTTTTATTTCCTTCGTTCTCCAACCTGTTCCTTCTCCTCTGCCCTCCCTGCCCACCCCCTCTTGTGCCCTGACCCTTACCCGAAGGGCAGCCACGTCAGAAGGAAAACCATGGACGATAAGGACCATTTCCCTGCAGAAACCACGAGGCAGTCAGGGACACAGTGTGTGCGGGGGAGCAGGCCTACGTGCGGTCTAAGGTCCGGGGATGCCTGGGGGCTTCGGTGTAAGGGAGGGCGGACTCCGGCCGATGGACAGCCGAGGACTGCCCAGCCCTGGCTACATGGGACGCGCCTGCACCTTTCCCCAGGTCCAGTTGCCCATTGGCCTATTTCCCCGAGCCCGGCTGGAGCTTGGGAGGGTTGGGAGGGGTGGCGTCCCTGCCCGGCCCCGCCCCCTGGTGCCCGTTACCATGGTGCCTGTTACCAAGGTCCTCGCCCGCTGGTCCTCCACGCCCCTCCCTTCTTGCGCCCGGCGTTGTGCTGCCGGACTCGCCGAGAAGGGTTCACGGTAAAGCCCACGTAGACGCGGCCTCTGTATTTGGGGTTGAGACAGTAGAGGAGGTAGACCCCGAAGAATGGCTGCGTCTTCTTCACTTCCCCAGAGGCTTCCGCGGGCCCCATCGTTCCCTGTAGAGGATGGAAGCAAGATCAGGGGTAGCCGGGAGGCGGGGGAATAGCTGTCATAGCCGTGAGGTGGTTTTTCTGAAGCCTCTGACCCAGACGAGCTCGTTTACCGGCCGGGGGCTTCGTTCCTGGGAGTCGACACACTGCCTAAGGCTCAGGGCAGAGGAAATTGGGGGGGGGAACCCTCACCAGGCTACGATCGGGACGTCGAAACTGGGCCAGAAAATACCAAAAGGGGAGGGCCTTTCTGAAAAGAAGCGGGAGCCCACCCCGAGCACAGTTCAGCACCGGAACTTCCGGTGTGGTCCAATCGCAGGCTCTGATTGGCTAAAGGTTAAATGAGGGCGGAATGATGGGTCGGTGGGGGGAGGGGTAAAATGAGGGCGGAAGTGACGAACATGGAACTGGGTGGTAACGAACGAGAGGCGTCTTAAGGGCGGAAATGACCGGTATAAGATTGGGCAGAGAAAGCATGAGAAGTACCTTGAGGACGGAAATTGTACATCGGAAGGCATCTCCCAGAAGTGGCGACAGTGTGGGCGGAAGAGGCGCCGGCTCAGGGTCCTGGGACCGGCCTGAGATTCGGCAGCCGAGATGGAGCTGAGTGCCGAGTACCTTCGGGAGAAGCTACTGCGGGAATTGGAAGCGGAACACGTGGTGAGTGCGGGGGCGGGGCGGGTCCACTCCCCCCCTCACGTGAATTCTGGGCCCGAGTGGCTGGAGGGGTGGGGTGGGGAGAGAGGAGAAGCGGGGCCCGGGTCGGGGTTGGAGTATCCTCTTAACCCTTCCCGCCCCGAGCAGGAGGTGGAGGACACGACCCTCTCCCGCTGCGCTGCTAGTTTCCGAGTCCTTGTGGTCTCCTCCAAGTTCCAGGGGAAGCCGCTGCTGCAGAGACACAGGTGAGCGTGAGCCACCTGCCCCACTCCCTGGGCACGCTCCACCCCCACTTCCCACAATTCCCCGGGGCAGTGACCTGTGACCCCACCTTGGCTTTCCCTCAGGCTGGTGAACTCGTGCCTGACGGAAGAGCTGCAGCACATCCACGCGTTTGAGCAGAAGACCCTGACCCCTGAGCAGTGGGACAAGGAGCGGCAGAAATGGGGCGCCGAGCAGGGCGGGAGACCCCCACCTCCGCATTAAGACATTAAATCTCTGGTCTGTGGCTCGGCCCCTGCTGTGTTCCCTGCATATGTGTGTGTGTTTATGGGTGTGTGTTCGTCCATCTGTCCGTGTCCGTCTGTCCACCTGACTTGTTGTGGGTGGAGTCAGGACTCTGGCGTTTCTTGGCCAGGTTTAGCTCTTTTACCCTTTTTGGCGGCCCACTTCCTTTCAGAGCCTCGTTTTTCTCGTCTGTAAAATGAGAGTGTTAGTCCACACAGGGACGCCCTTAGGTCCCTTCTGGCTCTGTTTCTGTGAATCTTTGGCCGAGGTGCTGTAGGGGCTAATCTGCGGGCCAGGGGACTGTGGTGCTTTCCAAGTTGCTATGGACGAGTCATCCACGTTTCCCCTTCCAAACCATTGGGCAGGGAATTACCTCCAGCCCCAACTCCTTATTGGTTTATTTCCTCTAGCTTAAGTTACTAACTGGTGTATGGAGAAATACCCCCCCCCCCCAGCAGGGATTTCCCAGCTGTCTAGAAGGCTGAAGATTCTCACGGGAAGTTCCTTGTACCCCTGAAATCATATGTTTGGTTTCTTAATGTTGTAACAGCAGCTCTGGGAACTATGAGGTGGCCTGGAAATTTTCCTTTTGAGCCTGGAGAGGTAGAGGACCAGGCTTTTCTCACGAAATGTCCTTGAATTATGCATAACATGTTACAACTGAAGGCTGCTATGGAAACTATTCACACTAAGCTGTTATTTAAAGAGGAAACAGACCTAGAGAGAGGGAAGATTTTTTGGGAGGTTGTCATGAAGCTGGTTACAAGAGCCAGGACCCAGGTCTCCTGACTCAACAGAGATTTCTTTCCTTTGCCTTGTACTGCCATCTGGAAAAGAGAGTTTCTGCTGACTTCCACTTATCCAAGCTTCATCTTACTGTTCCATGGGCCGCCACCTCAGGTCCTAAACCACTCCCAGTTGTATAAGTTTTGTTAGCATATGATGGGGAAAAGTGTTCCAAAAAATTACCGTAATCATTGTATAATTAATAACAATCAGGCTTGCTCCTCAAGAAGAATTGAGAAAATGGACCTCCTTGCTTTGTTGGTTAGTTTTGCTGAATTCTTTCTCCCTCCTTTTTTTAATTTTTGGGAATGAAAGTAATGTAAAAATAAGAGATAGCAAATGAAATAAGATGGAAAAGGCTTTCTGAATGATCTGGGGATAAGGAAAGCTCCTGACAGAGCCAGCAGTGTGTTACATAGCACTGGAGTTAGAGTCTGAAAGACTGGGGAACCTGGGAAGATCACTTAACCTCCCTTACCCTCAGTTTCCTTATCTGTGGTTGTGAGGATTAAATGCAATAATATGTAAAACACTTTGCAACTTAAAATGCTCTATAAATGTTAATTATTACTACCACTTGGATTTTTAAAACAGCTGGTGGGCACAGTGATCACTTACCCGTGCTCTTTCTGGAAGATTCCTGACTTGGAACAACTGGGAGATACTGCTATTGTGTGTCACCAAATTTAGAAATTGATTTGGGGGGGAGGCTGGAAGGTACTTTAGAGGTTATCTAGTTCAAATCTTATTCATTTTATAGAGAAGGAAACTTAAGCCAAGGTATGGTGAAGTAAGTAACTTTACCTGAAGTCACATGGTGAGGCAATGCCAAAGTCAATCTTCAAACTCAAGTTCTGATTCCAGATGATGTGCTTTATACCAGGCCCTGTGTTATTGCTGACTGATTGATGGGAATAGGAATAAAGAGAACTAAGTACTTACTTGCTGTGTGCTGAGTCCTGGCCACAGCTGTGCTGTGAGCTGACCCTTTCCCCTTGGGATTTGAGATGAGTCCCTAACAGGACTCTTAGCATGTTACCTCATGCCAAAAGCTTTCAAATCCTCAGTGTTAACTGAATGTAAGGCTAATTGTTTGACAGTCAGCCCAGAGCTCATATGCCCCAACATACTACTTTTCAAGTCAGTCCTCTTGGGAGGTAATACATACTCTTACCATGCTAGAATGCTGGAAAGGATTCTAAGAGGCCACTAGTCCAACTGTCATTTTACAAGCAATGCTTCTCAAAATCGTGTGTGCACGCGCGCTTGCGTGCATGTTAATGCTATACACACACAAGCCTCTCACCTTGATTTTGATTTCTGGGGAAATTCTAAAATTCATTATTAAAGGGACATTTAGTGAATATCTAAAGAAAAGAAAGGAGTAATCACAAGGAACAGTGGGTCATTCCAGACTAACATTCCCTGTTCTGTCAGGCTTACTAGACTAGAGTTTACCTAGGTCTTAGCAAAGCACTTTTAAGAAATCTCCTGTGATACGTCTCATGGACAAGGAGACATATGGGCTGTAGTCAACAGCAGAAGTTCAGCCTGGCTGGTGAAGGTCCTTGAGCCCATGCTCTATGGGAATCAGTTGAAGGAAATGAAGATGTCCAGCTTGAGGAAGAGATAACCACAGGGGCTGTGGGAGAAAATAGCTGCCTTCGAGTATTTGAAGTGATGTCTTACGAAAATCTTATCAGACTTGCTCTTAGCTCTAGAGGGCTTGTACTTAGGCTTGAGGTTAGAACAAATTTCTTAACATTTAAGGCTATTCAGAAATGGACTGGACTGCCTTAGGAGGTAGTACTTCCCTTCTAGAGGTCCTGAGACAGAGGCTAGGTGGTCCTTTGTCAGTCTGTGTTGTAGAGAAGATTCATGTCTGGGTAGGGTCTGGACTAGATGGGCTTAAGATCCCTCCACCTTTGAGATTCTGTGATTCCAGTGCTCCTCTTAGGGAAGTGCTGTGAGTTTATACTCCACAGAAGGAAACCCATCTCAGTACTTTATCATTGCTTTTCATTTCTGACCAAAAATGAAATTCCTTCAACTTCCTGCCCACCTGTCTTGTTCATCAGATGTGGCTCTGAATGACTCAGCACTTGCCAGAAGTCAAACCTACCTTCAGAGCATAAGATCTACTGCCACTGAAGACATCCAGAAGACTGTCGTTGGGGCTTTAAAGGCAGCCCCTGAGGAGAATTTCCATAAATGCCTTGCAGGATAGTATAGTTAGAATAGGTGTATGGCCTCTTAGAGTGGCTATTTTGAAAGTAATTAGTCAAAGGAGTAAATTGTTAATCAGAGAGCTGGAGGTTGGTGCTGTATGGAATCAGGGAATAGGTGAAAGTAGGCTTTGCTTTACATCAGCCCTCAAATAAATTGATCATGACAGCATGGTGTGGCTGAAAAACATTGGGTTTAAGAGTCAGGACACCTGGGTTCTAGCCCTGGATCTGCTACTAATTAATATGTGACCATAAATAAGATACTTTTCCTAACTGGGTCTTAGCTGTTACATCTGTAAAATAAGGGATTAGGCTAGACGCCAGATTATCTCTCAGGTCCATGCTTCCCCTTCTGCATTTTAGGATTCTGCACCACAATTATTAGCAAGGTCACTAAAGATCTCTTCCCTTCACAAAATAGGCAGAGACTTAGGGGTAGGACTTATGGTCAAACTTTGGTTCTGGCTTGCCGAGCAGTTGACTTGTATCCTCAGAACTATAAAGTGGGGGTGCTGAAATCTAATCTGCTGTCTACACTGTGGAAATCGAACCTCAGCTTTTATGTTTTGTCCTGCCCTTAGAGTCTCCCCATCTTTGCCAAGGTGAGGCATCCCAGCCTCCCTTTAGAGAGCCACAAAGGTGCTGAGACCTTTGAAGGGCTTCAATTAGTAGAGTCTAGGAGGTATCAGAAAATAAAACCATTTTATTTTATTTTTTTTTGTTTGTAAGGCCCACCCTATCCCATAAGGTATGGGGACATGGGAGGGGGGAGAGAGGGTGCTGTCACAGGCTTATTTCAACCAGTGACTTCTGCCCATGGGGCAGGGCCCAGCCAGGTCTCGGGTACTAGGGCCAAGCTACTTCCCTGTGATTTTCTCCTCCAGCTCATCTAGGCGCTTCTGCTGCTCCTGCACTGTGGCCCGTAATTGCCGTAGCTCTTCCTCCAGCCTCGACATAGCCTCCTGGGAAGAGTTCAGATGCCTGGAGTTCAGATGCTGGGCCTTGATTCCCCCCTTTCCCTCCTTCCCCCTACAACATGCTCTCCACCATCCTTATCCCTTAATTCCCTCTTGGGCTTACATCCCCAAGGGCTGACCTCTTATCCTCTCTTGGTTTCTCCTTCGTTCTCTCATTTCCCATACCTGGCTGCCTTGCTGTACTCCTTGTTCATCCTCAACCCTTCCTGCACCCTCTTTGTCTAGGCTGGGGCTGTGTACCTGAACTCTCCTCTCCATCCCTTCCCCTTTGGAGAGCTCCTTTTACCGTGCTAGGGCCTGCAGTAGACTCTGTGGTCCCACGCTTGCGGCCACTGTCCAGCCCCCTGTTGACTCTCAGCTCCCGGCTCTTGGGGGGCACATAGCCATCCTTAAGGGACACAAGTAGGGGCCCTGCGTCCTTGCCCCCCAGCCACTCCTCTGCTGTGAGTGCAGGATCTGGTCCAGCCGTGGGTGGGTACAGGTCCTCTTGAAAAAGGTCTGACTGTGGGAGTAAGGTGCAGGGATGGTGGGGTCAAGGTGGTGTACCTCACAAAGAGTTACCATCTACTGGCTCTTGGGGGTGGTGAGAGCCTAAAGCTCATTCCAGGTACCCTGGGTGTGAAATCACTCTGATATCCTGACTATAAGACTCAGAGATACCTCCCTACCCCATTCTTAGGCAAACAGCCTTCCTCATGAAGATGCTGGACCCTCAGGACCATCTTCCCAGACCCTAATCCATGATATCTCATTATCCATCTGGGTGGAAAAGCTGATTTCCCAGGGAATGGGACCTTGATCTTCTAGGTAAAGGTATATGGGGAGGGGTAAAATCTCACCTTCCTAGGCACAGTCATAGCAATGGGCTCACACTTCCGCTCATGTAACTTGTAGAATCTGTAGGGATATTTTTTGGTGAGCAAAACTTCCTAGTGGTCAGTGCTGGCTTGAGGTAAAGAAGAAAGGGGTAACCAGGCCAAGGGATGGTCCCTCACCTGGCAATCTCACATTTGTTGACCTCCAGGCCCCGCTTGGGCATGTAGCCCATCCCTCGCTGGGACTCCTTCGAGCTGAACATGGACAAGTAGTGCAGGAACGGGGCCTCTGCTGTGATCTCAAAATAACGTATGGAGCTGTCCCCCTGGGGGTGAGAGCAGGGAGTTAAGTACCCAGAGAAATGCCACATTCCCATTCCCAAGGCCTAGGGCTTCCTCCCATAGGGTCTCTTTCCCCTGCCCCTTCCCATTTCCCTGCCCAGTCCCCAGACCCCAGTCTCCTGGCCCAGCCTAGCCACCTTGCCACAAAGGTAGACGATGTTGGTGTCAGGGTCAAAGAAGGGAAGGAGGACCCCACTGCTTGTGTCCAGTTCTTGCAGGGACAGAGGTTCCTCAAGCTTCTGCTGCAGGGACAAGAATGTAGGAGCTGGCTCAGCCATCAACCTCTGTTACGGCCAGTCCCCAAGGAGCCTCTCTTGCCATCTGGCCCCTGTGAGAGCTCCCGGAATGTGAGAGCTGAGCAACATGAGAGGTCAACTAGTCCAATTCCATCATTGTGAAGCCCACAGCAATGAAGTGACTTGATACGTGAAATCCTTAGCAGTGTTGGATTTAGAACCCAGGTCTCTGGATGCCTCTTCCCAGGCTCTGATCACTAGACTAGGCTTTCACAGTCAGAAGGTTCTTCCTAGAGTCTAACCTTCATTCCCTTTGTCGTGTCCTTGTGGCATCCCCCTCCCTCGTAGGCCTCGTGGGGGTGGAGAAGGTATTCTCTCACACTTTCAACCTGTTTCTTTCCCCCAATTTTTGTCTGGGGTGATTCACTCACCATGTCCCACAAGGCCACCTGCCTCTCACTCATTCGGCTGAAGCCCGTGGTGAGGATCTTCCCGTCTGATACAAACACTGCACGAACTGGCCGAGTCCCTTCATGAGGACGCTCTTTCTCCTGAAGGGATGTGTGACATGAGATGAGTCAAGCTTAATCTTACCCAAAGAGGAGAGACCCCAATGGTCAGAGGATAAAGGTTGGAGGTCATTGGGAAGAGAAGACTCCCCACTGAAACAGGACCCTTGCTCAACATAGGGAGGCTTTCAATGGGTGGTGGTGGGGACAAGGAAAGGAAGAAAAATCATAGCCTGTGGTTACTCACAGCTAAAACTGTGCCCTTTCGGGGGTCAATGACCCGGACCCGCTTGTCCCGGCAGGAGGTACAGAGCAGTGCTCCATCTCGGTTCCATTCCACACTGTAGATGGTGTCTGGGTGTATATCTGGGCCCAAGGTCAGCACAGCAGACCCAGTCCCCACATCCCACACTAGGATCACATTGTCACAGCCTGTGGGAAAAGGTAATGGGGGTGAGAACTGAGAGGATGCCCTCCACCCTGTGTACCATGTTGCTCCATATGGCTGTGGCCAGTCCCTAGACCCATGCCCACCTCATACCTGCACTGAGCAGCACATTTTGGGCAGTTGGGTGCCAGGCCACGATGCCCACTCGCTTGGTGTGCCCCTCTAGTGTGACCACTGGCTCCCGGAGAGGCAGGGTCAGGCCCCCATCAGGGATCTCCCAGATCTGAGAGGACAGAGAAGGAATTCTGCTTTCTGACTCCATCCTACCTTGTGACCAGCTCTCGTTGTCCTGTCTTCTGCTCTAAAGAGTGACCTGCACAGATTCACCTGACTCTACATTTCTTCTGTACTCTTCCCATCCTTGTCCCTCCGTCCTTGGACTCTGG